TAAAGAGAACCAAATCACATGTGGTAACCTACCAAGCTTTGAATCAAACTCCTTTACAATCTGTTAATGTAACTGCTTTGAATCGAGAACCAAATCACATGTGGTAACCTACCAAGCTTTGAATCAAACTCCTTTACAATCTGTTAATGTAACTGCTTTGAATCGAGAACCAAATCACATGTGGTAACCTACCAAGCTTTGAATCAAACTCCTTTACAATCTGTTAATGTAACTGCTTTGAATCGAGAACCAAATCACATGTGGTAACCTACCAAGCTTTGAATCAAACTCCTTTACAATCTGTTAATGTAACTGCTTTGAATCGAGAACCGAATCACATGTGGTAACCTACCAAGCTTTGAATCAAACTCCTTTACAATCTGTTAACGTAACTGCTTTGAATCGAGAACCGAATCACATGTGGTAACCTACCAAGCTTTGAATCAAACTCCTTTAGATTCCTCAAGTCGGCAGCAACGAGATGATAGATGGAACTGTGTAGATCTGTCCGGCTGAGCAGAATGTCGTCGTCTAGAAGTAGCGAGAACATTCCAAAGGCTATTACATAGATATATGTGTTATATGTTTGTATGTATATCTATGGTGTTATGTAGAATGCAGGTAGGGTGATACGATTACAACACAAAAACGTGCAGTTATGGAGGCCGATTTAGCAGACTGACTGCAATTCTACAGGGAATGTCACACTTGTGTACCCAGCAAGATGACTTCCAAGATACAGTAAATGTAACAGCCATACACAACATGCTGACTCCCAAGGTAAATGCCACATAAATATGTCTAAAGTGCGTTGACTAACTAATTATGCGGTGCACACACACGCTATAGTGTATACCTTCTGAATTTATTTTCTGCAATAGCTGTTTTCGTTTTTTGATAACATAGCATTTCTTCGATGTAACGTCCGAAAAGTCGACCTCAACAAATCGGGTGATAGTGGTTCTTTCATCACATAGCCTCCAGTACAACGTGTCATATCCGGCACCAAGACTAATAATTTGGCAGGCACCGCCCGTCATCTGCAAGTCACAGATAGTATTAGTAACTGTATTGTATGAAAACAATAGGTTTTATCTCTCTAACAACATGTTTAATCCAACGCTCAGTGTTTATTCCAAAAATTCGGTCGAAATTGTCATCACTTGGCACTACTCTAGTAGTTTTTCGTACTCTGTAAACACTGGTGTGACCAGATATTCCTTACTATCCAGGCACCTCCCTACGTTGCGCAAACCGGGCGCGCCCGCCCCAGTTGGGAAAACTCCCCCCACGTTTCAATAGTTGCGCCCCGTTTAAATTACCTCCGCCCTGATTAAATTCCACCACAATAAAAGTTTGACAGTGCGGGAATCGATCGTCAAGAATTCCCATTCGACCAGGAACACCGACGCATGTATTTTTAGCGTACCAGTAATGCCTAAACGTCCTACACTACGCATGCACAAGTACAAACAGCCACCCTGTCCCAAACCCTAACACCAACTGTAAACCGACTCGGCTATCTTATATACAAGTACCACAAATACCGTCTATGGTGTGGTGGCGATTTTACGCATTACGGTAAAAAAACACGCCCCTGGACACCCCTAGTTTACCCTCCCACCCCCCTCCCCCTCTCCCCTCCCCCTGTTTCAATTTCATCCTGGGGAGAACCCTGCTATCGATATGCCTTGTAGCTGATAAGTAATGTCTTGTCGTAAAAAATTACCATATGAAATAATTAGATGGTTATTACGTTGACAGATACCTGTATGAACTGCTGCAGCAGGTGCTTGACTCCCATCACTCTGGCATAGTAGCCTCTGCTAATCTCCGGCGCTCGACGCTCACATGTGTGACAGAAATACTGCGAACACACCAATAAAATATATTTTTTAAAGTCTGCATCACATGTCAATCCGGATGTCCTCTAGAAAGAACCTAGCACTTTGCTGTACAGCGGAATTACTCATGTTGTACCAGGGTGAATGGCCGCAGAGATATACCCACATATCAATGTGGGACAGACATGAGCAATTGGCTACAGAGATAGCTACATATCAGTGTGGGGGCCGATACGAGAGCAAATGGCTACAGAGATAGCTACACATCAATGTGGGACAGATGCAAGAGCAATTGGCTACAGAGATAGCTACATGTTAGTGTGGGGGCAGATACGAGAGCGAATGGCTACAGAGATGCCCACATATCAGTGTGGGGGCAGTTCTATGCAAGAGCCATTGGCTACAGAGATAGCTACATGTTAGTGTGGGGGCAGATACGAGAGCGAATGGCTACAGAGATGCCCACATATCAGTGTGGGGGCAGTTCTATGCAAGAGCCATTTGCTACAGAGATAGCTATACACATCTATCTGGGGCAGTAAGCTCTTAGTATAAAGGGAGCCTTTTCTCAACAATATCTACAGGCATAACTCATATAATAATGGTATCACATAATAATCTTTATTATAATGTTGCTGTCAACTTGGAGGGACAGAGCCCATTATGAAATTATTTCATTATGAAAACCATAATCTAAACTAATACATGAAAGACAGACAAATCGAGGAAAAGTAGCTTCATCACTGCCTAACGGCATTGCACGATCGGGCCGCTATTGCCATGAAATAGACTTGCACCTGGAATAATATAGCTTTATACCAAAATCAAGAGTGCAGATGCACCATAGTTGCTAATTTTGTACACTGCACATGCACATATACATCATAAATACTATTCACATGGCTCACAAGCCTCACGCATTTGGCGTGAGACTCATGCAATTCAGCACAATCTCACGCTCCCATGCACATTTCTGATAGTCCCCGAAAATCTCACGCAATTGCAAGAATCCAGTTTTTCTTCGTTGCGTGGAGTGGGTCTAGCCGTTTTTTGTACTGGTACATTGTATGTTTTTTCATGCTTATATAAGCAACAAATATCATGTTCAAATTGCTGCTGAGGGCATCAAATACTGAAATAGCGCCCCATTTTTAAAAAATCTACACCCCCTCCCTCCATCCACCTCCCCTTCGCCTTCGGCCTTAGATTTTCTTATTCAAAATAAATCACACTCATTTTTAAAGCTAACCCTTGAGAGCCCTGCATTCATGCTGCTCGCCACCCATGGACAGCAAAACTACATAAAGCAGTTTAAGTATTTACGCTGCTATTGTGAATGAAAGTGTTAATCACACTGTAGCTCAACACAAAAAAGGACACAAATGAGTGAGTAAAAAGAAGTCAGTTTTGATTGAGCAACCATCGACGTACATTATAGAAACGATTGCCATCTGTATATCGCAATAATAATTTATAAACCAAAATGAATCACAATTTGTGACCGTAGATGGCGCTATACCCGCTTTGTAGCAATGGCGTTTGAAATAAATAGGTTATGCTGCGTTCCGACATGTTTTGTAAAACTTTACTCTAATATAGACGTTTTAGCGGCAGGGTGGAAAGGAAATACCAATTTTGCATTAAAGATATTGTCAATGAAATCTTGTAAAACGAACCAGCT